GTATTCATGTATATCATGTGTATTAGCATTCATGTGTATCATGTGTATTAGTATTCATGCATATCATGTGTATTAGCATTCAGGTGTATCATGTGTATTAGTATTCATGTGTACCATGTGTATTGGTATTCATGTGTATTAGTATTCATGTGTACCACATATATTAGTATTCATGTGTATCATATGTATTAGCATTCATGTGTACCATGTGTATTAGTATTCATGTGTACCATGTGTATTGGTATTCATGTGTATTAGTATTCATGTTTACCACGTGTATTAGTATTCATGTGTATCATATGTATTAGAATTCATGTGTACCATGTGTATTAGTATTCATGTGTACCATGTATATTGGTATTCAGGTGTAAAACTCACTGTTCAGTATGTTTGGCTTTCATTAAACTAAACCCTAAAGTTTCCCTTTAGTAAATGTTTTCCTTCTCCATGATTTTTACAGTCTTTACTGTTTAACTATGAAGTGTTCTTTGACAATTCTAACACTCATAAGTTTGGGGAGGTAAAAGGAAAATAACTCCAGAAAGTTAGTTTGTTTTGAACTCACAGGTCAAATGAACCGTCATAATTTTTCCATCTAGATTTCAAGCAATGAGCCAACTGCTATCTTTAATACACATCACTGGATCTACGTAGTTGTCAAGTGTATTGCTCATTTGGAAAAATAAGCCGGTGAACTATATTTTTCTATTGTACTCTTCTGAAACATTTGTCTCATTGTTTCTATTTGGAGAGTAAAGCACTTAAAAACTGAAAGAAAGAAAGAAAAGGACTAGTGGCAGCCATATTGCACAAGGAAGATACAGAACACTTCCATGGTCGCAGAACGTGCTGGGGAACAGTGCCTGTATAGACCACACCCATTCCTACTGCCTCAGAGCCAGCTCACTGGAATGTGAGCTTTCAGAAGCAAGGCACTCTCTCGTTATTGTCTATCACAGTGTCTCTCACGCGTGCGTGTGTATGGGGGGAATGAAGAAGCTCTCCTTGGTTCCATCTAAGAATCTCAAATCTTCCTATGATCGGTCTTAACAAAGTATCAATATGTGAATGAAGTGCAGAGATTTATCTGAAGACCAACACAAATGCTTAGAGAAAGTGTGTAACCACAGTAATAACTGTGCTCAGCATTTTAAAATTCTTGACATTTTCCATTTCACTTAATTCCGAGACACAGAAGCATAGCATGCATCGGGAGAACCAGAGCAGCGAGTCCAAATTCCTCCTCTGGGGGTTCCTCCTCCAGCCACAGCAGCAGATCTCAACTGTTTTGGGGAACATGCTCATCAAATTGCTCATCAGGCTGGACTCTCACCTTCTCCACCCCCCCCTATGTACCTCTTCCTCAGCCACTAAGACCTTACTGCTGCCTCCTTTTCATTTATCACCAGCCCATAGATGCCCATAAACATGCATACTCAAGATCAACCCATCTCCTATGCAGAATGTGTAACACTCTTGTATTTTTAAGTACCTTTTGGTTGTGTTGATAGTGTCTTTCTTTCAGTGATGGCGTATGACAGGTATGTAGCCATCTGCCACTGTCACTCTATACACCATTCTCATGAGAAAGGAGCTATGTATCTTGCTGGTGGCTGGCTCCTGGATACTCTCCTGGGGGTGTGCCCTCTTATACACCCTCCTCTTGGTTAGATGTTGTCCTGTGCTGCTAGGGTAGCTACATCATCTGGTGCCAATGTGAGGATTAAGAGTGTAGGGGTGAAGTCTAGGCTGTCAATCAGGATGTAGCCAATGAGGCCTCTGTGTGGGCATGGCCTTCCCCTGAGAATTCTGGGAAATCTGCTTTTTCCTCCTCGGAGGTGGGAGAGACTCTCTGCTCACTCCCTTGGAGATGCTCTACTGACAAGACATGTGGCACCACGCTGATAGACCCTATGCCCTGGGAACTGGAGAAGCTCCTGCCAGTACTGGGATGCTTACAATGCCACTGGATCCAAAGACTTTCTACACACTGGCCTGTGATCGTCCTGCATTCAGCATCATTGCATGTGTTTTGTGAGTCTGAAAAGGGCTTTATAGATTGGTATTGGACACACAGGCTAATATTGGACTTATGGGCTTGGACTGGACTAGGTTGGGATGCTTTCTTAATGTTCAATTGCCCTTGTATATAAACCTCTCTCTTATACACATATGCATGTTTATGAATTTGTTTCTCCAGTCTACCCAGACTGACCCAGTTGACATTCTCCACGTTTTCTGCCGTCTCACCATCCTACTCATGTTTGCCTGCTCAAGAACACCTCTCAACGAGCTGGGCATACTCACTGAAGGGGCTGTGGCCATCCTCTTGGCATCGACTGGCCACACCGGGACCGCTCTCTTGAGGGTCCCTTCTACCAAAGGTGTCTGCAAAGCATTGTCTAACTGTGGTTCCCCTCTCCCCGTGGTGTTTTTGTATTGAGGACCAATTGTGGCACTGTCCTTTTGTCCTTCTTCAAGTGGCTCCCGTGAGAGAGAGATGCTTGTCTCACTAATGTAGATAGTAGTTACTCCCATGTGGAACCCTTTCATTCCTCGCCTAAGAAACAGACATGAAATTGGCTCTGGGGTTACTTTTCAGAAGTATTATTCTTTCCTCCCAAGTGAAAACCAACTGATGATGCTCTTACTTTATCCACGGATGCTGCCCAGAGATGCCTTTTTGAGAACTTACATCTTGACCATCCTTTTTGCTAACATCCTCCCGACTGTTCTTTGAATGGGAAGTTTCACTCTCAGACGGAATCCCTTTCACGTTGGTTACATAGGTTACCCATTTAGTCCTCTAAAACTCCACAGCCATAGAGTCTTCAAGACACCAAAGTTCTCATTGGTCAAGTGTGCAATGAATTACTCTCAGAAGGTCATATATTTTT